ATGTCGACGCCGAGGATTCCGATACTGGCTGAGGCAACAAGGGGAGTACCTTGAAACTGAGGAGATACGACAAAGGGGTTCTTTTTAGCGGTAAACGCGCAAACTTGTGTCTTCTAAGGATTAAACTGGACTAGATTTAGTCGCCCCCAATCCGAGACTTTGTCCAGCAAAGACTCGACTTCAGACACAAGTTTGTTCCGGTACTCGGTGACGTTTTCCCGAGAAATATTGGCACGGCCGATGTATAGAGCATCACCAGTGCTGTCATCCGCATAGCAATGAATGCTACCGGCTTGCAACATATCATTGATATGCAGAAGAAACAGCGTTGGTGATAGCACGCAGCCATGTGGAACACCAGCGTTAATAGGCTTGAAGTCGGGGCATGCACCGTCTACAACGACCTTGATGCTCCGATCTGCAAGAAAGCTGGTGATCCAATTGCATACTTTCTCGGGAAGCCCATAGGAAGGGAGCTTCGAAAGAAGCGCTTGCGCCAAACCCGATCGAAGGCCTTCGCAATGTCCAAACTAACGGCCAATGCCTCCCCCTTGGACTCTACTGCCTCCGCCCATCTATGACTTAAGTAGACCAGATGATCACCAGCTGATCAACCCCGACGAAAACCATACTGGCGGTCACTAATCAGCTGGTGATCCTCAAGGTACCGCATGAGGTGGCAGTTTATAACGGATTCCATTATTTTGGAGAACAAGGGGGTGATGGCGATAGGCCTGTAGTTGGACGGGTCTGAACGGTGGCCTTTTTAGGGATCGGGTGGACAAAAGCTGTCTTCCATCATTTCGGGGCTACGCCTAGGGAGTAGGAGTACCGGAAAAGACGCGTTAGAACCGGTGGCAACTCCGGAGCACACGTCCTCAGCACAATTGGGGGGATTCCGTCAGGCCCACTCGACTTGTAGATGTTAAGGGAGAGGAGTGCTCTGCGAACCGAGCGCTGTGAGAACCGCACATCCGGCATGGAGCACTCAAACCGCGGGATGGTCGGCGGTGTGTTTCCACCGTCATCAACAGTCGAGTTGGACGCAAAAAGGGAGCCTATAAGGTCGGCTTTCTCTTTTGTGTCGTAGGCCAGTGAGTCGTCCTCCCTGTGCAGAGATGGTAGTGATGGTTTACAGAAATTCCCTTGGAGAGCCTTGGCGAGAGATCAGAATGCACGGGTTCCCGAAGGAAGGCGAACTAGTTTGTCGCCAATTCTGCCCATGTGCTCTGACTTTGCCCTGGCAATAACTCTTTTGAAGGACCTGGAGGCGAAGTTATAATTCTTTTTAAGTATGCTGGTGCTTACATCCCGAGTCGCCAAAGCCGCAGCCCAGGCTTGATAACACTCCTGCTTACTGCGTAAAGCAGTCTTACAGGAGCGACCAAACCAAGGCTGAGATCTGCCTCCGATGGGTACCACATATGATGGAATAAATAGTTCCATTCCCTGTAGCACCACATCAGTGACAGAGTCAGCAACAGCGCTGGGATCATCCGGCGAGAAGCAAACCCGCCCCCATGGGTAGGAAGCAAAGAGAGACCGCATTCCGTCCCAATCCGCCGACCTGTAATGCCAAACACGGCGGCAACCTGCAGAACGCAACCGCAAGGGGAGCATGAGTGGCACCACACTCCGGATCAGCCAATGGTCCGAAGAGCCAAGAGGAGCATCGACGGAAACCTGATATCTGTCCGGATGAGAGGTCAGCAGAAGGTCCAACGGGGAAGGTGTATGATCCTCAACATCTGGAATCCGCGTAGGCGATGTAACCAGTTGACCAGACCATATGCCAAGGCAAAGTCATAAACATATCTCCCCGCATGATCGGTTAAACGTGAATCGAGCTATTCAGCGTGGTGGGCGTTAAAATCGCCAAGGATCACGATCTCTGCGGATGGGACCTGTTGTAGCAAGGAATCTGTAGCCATTTCGACGTGGTCGATGAGTCGGTCTGTTTCGGCATTATCGCTATGGGACCTATAGGCGCGTAGCCAAAGGATGGACAGGTCCGAACCTTCAAGACTGCCGAGGCGTCGAGAACAGATATCCTCTCTGACATACATGCATACTCCAGCCCGAGGCACAAAGGAGTGCTCCAATTTTTACCCCGGGTAGGAGAGATACGAAATGTCAGGCGGAGAAGACACCTGCCTGTCGGTCAGAAAGAGCAAGGCCGGCTTCTGGTACCCTCCTGTGGTAGTTTATGATGTAATTCGGCTACCATGTTGATGGGGGGGGGGCGGGAATTGGGTCTCGGGTCACCTGCACTCACCAGACGAAACGCGGAAGCAGAGCTTCCACTTCACGCCGGTATTCTGTGAGATCGTGGTACTAACCCGGCTCGAGCCGGCCCATACGTGCAACAGCAAAAGCTGCTGCGGGGCTCTACCACCGTAACTTTTAATTGCTTTACAACAATATAAAATAAATAAATATAAACAACTTATAATGCATAAATATCTTACCAGACAAGTAGAGAAGGGTAAATATGTTATACCACACATAAGAAACTATAATGCTAAGAGAACTAGGCAATATTTTACTTCGCTAATATTTAATAGAATAGATTTTATAAGAGATACAACCAAAGACATAAGCACTGTAATATTAAAGAAAAGACTGAAAGATGCATTCCTATGAAAAGTATAACGTACTACCCTATAATATGTATTAATTAAAGATAGATTAAGTAGTAGTAACATAAAATACATACATATACATACATTACATACATAAACACTCACGCCTGTCACCCAGAGGGGTAGGCAGAGACTATGGACTTCCGTTTGGCACGATCCTGACACACCTCTCTCGCTTCCTCCACATCCATATACCTAGGCATACACGTTCGTCGGTTAAAGGTACTCTTGATTTGGCCCATTTTCAATATATCGCCAATTTGGTCAATTTGGTCGATAAACTTTCGCCTAGGGCGTCCCTTCCCGACTCTGCCGTTCACCTTTGCAACATAAATTTGCTTTGTCACTCTTTCCTCGCTCATTCTTTCTACATGGCCAAACCATCGAAGCATTCCTTTCTTAATCCTTGTCACAATGTCATCTTGTAAACCACACTTTTCTCTTATCACACTATTTCTCACCCTGTCATTCAGATTCAGCCCTAGCATACTCCTTAAGAACCGCATTTCTACAGCATTTATTCTACTCTCATGCATCTTCTGCCAGACCCAATTTTCACTACCATACATTAAAGTAGGAACTAACAAGGCATTATGAATTGCCATACGTGCCTTAGTTGACACATTCTGACTCCTCATAATAGCGTGTAGAGCCCCATTCACTCTATTTTCTGCGTTCAATCGTCGTTCTATATCCTTATCATATCTACCATCCCTGCTAAATAAACATCCCAAATACAAACTCATCCACTTGCTCAATCAACTCCCCTTCTATTCTTATTTCTCGTATCGTTTTACTTTCTTCTCTTTAAAAAACCATCACTTTCGTCTTACTTGCGTTCACTTTCATATCCCTTTCTTTTAATGACCAGTTCATTAAATTAACCATCATTTGCAACTCAGCCGCCGACGATGCAAATATGACTTGATCATCGGCGTACAAAAGGCATTTGATGGTTAACTCACCCATTCTCAACCCACATTCTTCAACTTTCAAAGTTTGCAAACAACTGTCCATAAATAGGTTGAACAACCACGGGGAAGCCACACATCCCTGTCTGACACCTTTATGAATGCCAAACCAGTCCGAGTAGACCTTGTTGATCCTGACACAAGCACTAGAGTCCCTATAAAGAGACTTTAATGCCTGTATCAGACCAGTGCTCAACCCAAATGAGGTCAGTGTTTGCCATAACACATTCCTGTCCACTCTGTCATAAGCCTTTTCCAAGTCCATGAACGCACAAAAAACTTTCTGGTTTTTGGCCAAAAACTTCTCCGCTATCATGCGCATGGAAAATACTTGATTCGTACACCCCATCCCCTTTCTAAATCCAGCTTGCACATCCCAAATTTTTCCATCAGTTTCTTCCATAACTCTTTTCAATTAACTCCTTAGCATACAGTTTACCCACAATGCTATGCAAGCTGATACCACGGTAGTTTTTACAGTCCTGCTGCGAGCACTTTCCCTTATATATTGGAACTATAACGGCTTTGCACCAGTCTTCCGGTACCCGCTTCAGTTCCCAACATAAATTAAACAAGGTGCACAGCAGGCCTGCAACCACACCCTATCCAGCGCTTAGCATTTCGAGTGATATTCTATCATATCCGGCTGCCTTACCTGCTTTCATGCTTTTCATTGCTTTCACTTACTTCCGACGACTCTTCACTCTTAAACACGCTTTCAAAGTATTCCTTCCATCTCTTTAAATTCGAAACTTCATCATTCAGCATGCAGCCATTCTCGTCTCGTATAGCATTAATTCTAGGCTGTTTTGAATTTCCCCTGGCAGTTCTTACGAGCTTCTAGAACATTTTAATATTTGCCTGGAAGTTATCAGATATCCTTCTATCATTCTTATCTATCCTTTCTTGCTTTTTCCTTTCGAGAACTTCTTTTACTCTCTTATTTATACGTCTAAAGTCTGCCTTTTTTCTTTCAATCTCATCATTCATACCACCAGAATTACCAGCTTTAGTTGCTAGTAAATCTAGCCATACTCTCTTCTTTTCTTCAACTTCCATCCGTACCTCATCATGCCACCACAACGTATTACTTTTCCTTTCATTCGTTCTCTTACTTACACCACATACAGTAGGCGTGCGAGTTCATGTCCATCCCGAGGAATGCGGCAGTGCTGTAACCTAATCAATTATGGGAGATCGAAAGTGCACGTTATTGTGTACAGACGTGTCATATAGTAATTAAAATAATTAAATAAGTATGTGCTTAGCCGTGACCTCGTTATAACAATACCGGTAGTAACTGTGACATACTTTAGTTATATTTGTGTTAGTGATATTGTTGAAATGTTTTAGCTTAATCTAGTATAGGTACTAAAATGGAGAACAGTCCTTTCAACCGGAGTGCCAGAACCACTCGCACCCCGCCTCCATCAACCCCACCCACTGTCATGCTGTGACACCCACCTCAAGCGAACCAATCAAAACAATTCCAACTCCTGAGTTGCAGCAGTGGATGACAAGCATTGACCTGTGCCTTAACGAGGTGTGCTCCATCGCTACAGAAGGAAAACTAAACTCGGATCAAAAAATGCGCATCAGCTCGCTTTGTCGAAAAGTAGGCCAAAGTACATCACAATTGGTACTCCAGTACATGTCCCTCAAAATGGATGCCACTAAAGCCCAGACATCCATCGTTTCTCTACAGAACCAACTTGACCTGTCCCAAAAGCTGCAGGAACTCAAGAATAGTATCGAAGAGTCATCAAAACCGGACTCTGGAACCTCTTTTGCGGACATGGTCAAAAAAGGTGGCCAAACCCTCATTCGCCCAAACAATCTTAGTACCCTAGCAATTTATCCGAGGGACAAGTCCAAATCCAGTGATGACACGAAGTGCCTCTTACAAAAAATAATATCCCCAGAAGAACTCAAACTACATGTCCGGGGCATGAGGAAGGTCAAAAATGGGGGAGTTATAATTAGCGCTGAGACAAAAGGGGATATCGACAAATTAAAGAACTCCGAGAAGCTTGTATCTTCTGGCCTTACCATGGAAGAGCCGACTAAACGACGTCCGAGGATTGCAATTGTTGGTGTCCCTTTAGCCCTCACGGATAAAGAAGTGTTCGAGTGTATCTTCGAACAAAATATTGCCGATAAATTTCCCAAAGCCACGCGTGATTCTTTCCTGGCAACAGTCAAACTGAGCCATAAATCAGGTAAGAAAAACCTTCCTACATGTAATTACATTATCGAAGTGCCACCTAGCATCAGGAAGGCCCTTATCAATCAAGGACGAATATATATTAATTGGACCTCATGCCCCGTCAGAGACTTTACAATAGTAACAAGATGCTTCAACTGCCAGCAGTTTGGTCACTCAGCCAAATTTTGTCGTGAAAGTTGCCCTACATGTAACTACTGTGGAGAGCTTGGGCATTCCTTTAAAGAATGTAATAACAAAGCGCACGCCCCCGTTTGCGCGACGTGTAAACGTTTTAAAAGAAAATGCGACCACAAAACTGGTGATGAAAGCTGTCCAGCACGTAAATTCGCAGAGGAGAAATATATCAACTCCATAGACTATGAGGGCGCCTAAGAGCGCCGTGTATTATATTATTTACTTAGCTCTTAAACACTAGTTTTAGTTTATCCTTAAGCTTAAGTATGGCGAATCAATTACTCAATGACCTAGAAAACTTTTCTGTGTCTGACGCTAAAACGTGTAATGTTGATGACTGTAAACACTTCCTTCCACGTACTGAAAATAAGTTAGTCTTACTTACACAAAATATTAGAAGCATAAATCGGAATATAACCGGGTTTGAAGTTTTGTTGCATAGACTGGATATAAAATGTGATATTATTGTCCTTACAGAATGTTTGGTGTCAAACCTCCCACCCCACCTACCGATTCTAGATGGCTATTCTTTACACAAAACCGAAAAAAACATAAATCAAAATGACGGTTTAGTAATCTATGTTAAAAATAATTTAAAAGTAACTGTTACAGAACCTACATTCCAGGATAGTAATTGCTTAATCATTAGAATTAATTCCGAGACGATTGTTATCGCAATTTACAGACCTCCTTCACAAAATATTGATAGATTCCTAGAGTCCCTTGATATTACCTTAAACAAACTTAGCTCGTATAAAATATAATCTTAACGGGTGACATAAATATTAACATTACCCCTGGAAAAACAGATAACCATGCACATAACTACCTAAATATTTGCTCTTTTCATGGACTATTACCAACACATTACCACCCTACACATCAAAGTGGCTCTTGTTTAGACCATTTTGTGATTAAATCACATAAACCTTCTTTAACATTAGTTACTAATTCCTTGCTTACTGATCATCAAGCAATTTTACTAACATTACAATTAGCCTTACCTAGGAAAAACTGCATACGCAACGACACTAAAGTTCATATGACGAACCTTGAAAATCACATTCGTAGCATTAATTTTGACGTTGTTTACTGCTCTGACAATGCAAATACGTCCTTGAGTTACTTTATAAATTCTTTACAATATGCAATAATGAATAATACATCAACAATAAAACTATCATGTAAGTATTATAATATTAAACCTTGGATAACACCTGGTCTCGTCCGCTGTATAAGAAATAGAGACAAACTTCATTTAAAATCTAAACTTTCTCCTCATAATTTAATACTTTCTACTACTTATAAAAGATATAGGGATTTTGCAATAAACTATTAAAAAACCTCAAAATACAATATGACAAAAATGTTTTACAAAAGGCCGGTAAAAACAGTAAACTTGTATGGAAGTTCATTAAAAATAATACCTTCAGTTCAAAAAATCTTGGACCCCCACTTGATCTACTGTTATTAGACAAAAGCCCAAATGAAGCAACCAATAAAGTGAATAATTATTTTGTTAATATTGGCAAAAAAATAGCAGAGACAACTTTAAAATTAAGCAACACTCGTAATCCAATTTTTATGCCCACATCCTTTTCTAAGTTAAATTCTTTTGTATTGTTAAATACCGATATTGATGAGATTTTAAGTATAATATCTGGCTTAAAAGAAGATTGTGCAGTTGGATGGGACAATATACCTAATCGCATTCTGAAAAGATTTAAACATTTACTGGCCGCCCCGTTAACACATATCTTTCAATTATGCCTAACAAATGGTATTTTCCCGAAACTGCTTAAAAAAGCAGTGGTTTCTCCTATTCACAAAGCTGGTGATAAAAACTTAGTTAATAACTATAGGCCAATTTCAGTTCTATCTGGTTTATCCAAAATTTTAGAAAAGATCATAAATACCAGGTTAATAAAATATCTGGAAACTAATAACTTGCTGTCAGACAGACAATTTGGGTTTAGGCCTAAGAGATCTTGTAATGATGCCTTGCACCAATTGACAGAGTATGTCACAAGTAATCTTGACAATGGTTTATACTCGATTGGGATCTTCCTAGACCTTGCCAAAGCATTTGATACTATCTCTTGCCCTTTACTATTGCAAAAGCTTGAAACACTTGGCATAAGGGGAACTCAACTACAAATTTTTTCCGATTATCTAAGTGATCGCTTTCAATGTGTAAAAATCGGTGAGTATACAAGTACTGAATTACAAAACAGTTCTTTTGGAATCCCACAGGGCAGTATCCTGGGGCCTACATTGTTCCTAATTTATATAAATGACTTATGCAATCTTCAACTTCAAAATGATGTCATAATGTCTTATGCGGATGACACAGCCCTGTTATTCTCAACTAAATCACGAGATGAGGTTTATAAATACGCTCAGCAAGGCTTTAATATAGTATCCAATTGGCTTATAAATAATCTCCTAAGTTTAAACGCAGATAAAACACAATATATGTTATTTTTAATGAGAAATAATAACATACCTGCTGACCTTAATATTTACGCTCATCATTGTTACTCGTATGACGACATTGCATGTGCATGTCCCGTTTTAACAAAAACAGACAATATAAAATATCTAGGTATCACGTTTGACACAAATTTAAATTTCCGCAAGCACATCGATTTACTTTTTGCTAGAGTTCGTAAATTAATATATATTTTTAAATATCTTCGTAACATCGCTGACTTCAAATTGATAAGACAGGTTTATTTAGCTTTGTGTCAATCCATACTCACTTATGGCATTACTTCCTGGGGTGGTGCTTCTAAAACAATATTGCTCCCACTAGAACGTGCTCAGAGAGCAGTTCTAAAGGTAGCCACTTTCCGTCCATTCATGTTTCCTACACATCAACTGTACTTGGCATGTAGTGTACTAACTGTCCGTCAGTTGTTTATCCTGAAAATCATATTAAAACAACATACCGAACTTCCATTTAACTTAAAATCCATAGACAGGAGAAGAATGGACTTAGTTTGTGTAAACCCTCAAACCAAACACGCATTTGTGAACAAATTTTACATATTTTTAGGACCCTTTCTATATAACAAGCTCAACAAGTCACTAAAGGTATATAGTCTAAGTTATAAGGACTGTAATATAAGTGTAAGGGAATTTCTAAATAAATTAAATTACGAAGACACAGAGAAGTTGTTAAATATACTAAAATAGTTTGTATTAATTGTAGGCAATAAATAATTGTTATTTAGTTATTTTATTTATTATACAATTTAGTTTAATTATTTAAATATCTAGTGTCCTACATTATTAAACCGTTTGTATAAGTGATGTCTGAAACACAGGTACTCAACCTAGTTCAGGCAGGTAGCTAATATTATAAATATGAATTTTCTATCTTCTTTTGTAGATTCTACATTATTTAGCTACACATAGTTTTAATTTTATCATAACATGTTATTTTTGTTAGACTTATTGTTACTTTATTAATTGTAATCATTCTGATTCCTGTATGTCAAAATGTGTAATTCGAAATGAAATAAATATTTATTATTATTATTATTATTAATTATGGTAATGTCGATAATTACTACCGATATAGTGAACAGCTGTCAATTTGATATTAATTTGTAACTTAAGGTAATTTTGCAAATTATAAAATAAAATAAACATGATAAATACTTACTTGTATATTGCTAATAGAGATTCTTTTTTAAATGTTATTTAATCACTATCGGATGCATAGACAACCGACAAAGCAGAGTCGGAATCAGTATCTTCGCCGTCGCTGACTTCAATTACGAATTTGTCGATCGTATTTTCCAATAATCCGTCTTTTTGCCAGTAATTCTCTTCCAAAATTATAACGTGATTATCAAATCTACACCAATCTATTTCTGTCACTTGGTTTATAGCCATCTCCGTTACTTCTTTCAACCTTGTTAGGGTTAAATCTGAGTTAACGTTGTACTCCCTCACAACTCTCTTGATTTTTGCCCATGCTAACTCAATTGGGTTTAAGTCACACATGTACGGTGGCAATCTTAAAACCTCATGTCCGTGACTACGGATGAACTGGTCCTTTTTAAAAGTTTTCTCCTGGGGTGCAAGCAGTTTTATGACATCAAAAAGCTCGGCTTTTCTCATGCTTAGTGAAGTCTCTACATTATTTCTTGTAAGCCATTCTAACGTAATCGTTTTAGTGCTTGATTTTGTAGGACCTTTATTTTCCTGAACACTGTGATATGGTGCGTTGTCCATAACGACAACGCTGGATGGTGGCAAATTGGGAATGAACATGTCAGTCACCCATTTCTCAAAGTTTGTACTGTTCATTTGCCCATGGTAATCGCCTGTAGCAGTACCAGCTTTGAAAAGCAACTTTGCGCCATCCAAAAAACCACATCTGGATCCGGCGTGAACGAGAATCAGCCTGTTCGTGGAGCTGGTGTCAGTCAGTATCGCGTCTAAATAATCGTTTCTCCAACACTTTTTAAATGTGAGGTTATTGTCAACCTACGTTTCGTCTAAAAAGACAATATCGCAATCATTTTCTCTATATTGACGAATTTTTCGCAAATAATTTGACCGCGCAAATACAACAGCTGGTCTTTCTACCAAAATCCTTCGCTTGTTGTGACATTTTTGCCATTTATAGCCCATTTCCTTTAGAAATTTTCGTAAACTTGTAGTCCCCCAGGGAAAATCAATTCTTTCCCGGATAGCCGCCAGAAGTTTGGGACAAGTGGGAACAATTTTTTTTGTCAAATAAAATTCTTCTATACATCTGTGTATTACACTTCTATCGAAATCATCTACATTTAAATTCCCCATTTTATTACACGATTTCCCTTTTTTAGAAGGCGAATGGAGAGGTCCATTTTTTGCTTCTGTTTGAATTCTAGACAATGTTCTTTTAGTAAGTCCAGTGTAACGGGCCGCTCGATCTAAAGCATTGTTAACCGGAAAAACGAATTTATTCTCTTTTTTCTCTTCGACACACATCTGTAGGACATTTCTCGCCATTTCACGTGCTTGCTTATGTATTATAAAAGGTTTTTTTCTACCTGAACTTGCTGGAAGCGAAGTAGTCATAGTTTATTCACAATAAAATAATACAATAGGGACTAATTTTCGGTATCGATAAGCGCGTGTCACAACCGTCAAGGACAACACTCGACTGCAGATATATGCGGCTAGGTGGGCGAGGGCGG